AAATAAATAATTGGGGGAAAAAATCAAGTCACATATGAGATCAGTAATCTTATGACATGAGAGCAGTTAACAAAGTCTTTCAGGCTTCTGTGCTTAAATGTGCAATGTGTGAAATAGTGTAAATCCTCCGAGAATGCACACGTTGATGGTAATGCATAGGTGGACATTGTGAGAAAATGTGAACAGTGCCAAAAAAAAGTTTCCTATTAATACTACAAGTATCGATATTTTACGCATGGCATTGATGCATCGTATCGTTAGACATTTGATCGATGTATCGATCCATAGCGATGGATTGTTACACCCCTACTATGCATTAGGGCTGGGCAAAAAATCGAATGCGATTTTCATGCGAATCTCGCCAGTAATTTTTTGCACAGCCCAGCTATGTATGCATTCCATCTTTGTATTGGTTGTATTTTTCTATGCTTTTTTAAAATGCTTTTTTCTTTCTTTTGGTATTCGACAGTCTAGAACGCCAGCCCTTGTGTTTGAGTACATCAATAACACCGATTTCAAGGTACCACGTTTAATTTTTTTTTTCTTATAAACTAGTTTTGTCTGATCTTATCTTGATCTCATCAATAATAGCATCAATAAAAGGAGTTAAACTGAATTGTGCAACATTTAATATCTCGCATAATGTTGTTCTGATTTGTAGGATCTGTATCAGAGACTAACAGACTTTGATATCCGGTTCTACTTGTATGAACTTCTCAAGGTAAGAACACTGATGTAGCTGAAATAAGATTACACTTTCATTTATTTTGAGCAGGAGAGTGCGTTATGTGCATGTGCTTTGTCTCTTTGCAAGGCACTGGACTACTCTCACAGCATGGGCATCATGCATCGGGATGTCAAACCTCATAATGTCATGATAGACCACCAGATGAGAAAGGTGAAGTACGATAACAGCACTGTGGATTTGTTTTTTGAATGTGTCCCTTGTTAGTGACTGCAGATCAATGTTGTATGTTATATGAACTGTTGTATGTGTTTTTTTTTTTTTAACTGGTGTAGTTGCGGCTTATAGATTGGGGTCTTGCTGAGTTCTACCATCCAGCACAGGAATACAACGTAAGAGTCGCCTCAAGATCATATAAGGGACCAGAGCTGCTGGTTGACTATCAGGTATGTTATGTGTCTTTTATATTCATGGCCTTTCCACACTGTTTTGGGGAAAAAACACTTTAGGTTTATGTGGATTTGTACATGAATAGCTCCTAAACGTGTCCCTTTTGTAAACATCACATATTTATTATGTGTAGCCCTATTCAGACATTAATTGTTTCTCACGGGGATGCAAGGTAATTTCAGCATTTAAAGGGGCTAATCAGTGGTTTTATTGCCATCTAAATCCAGAATTTCATTGTTGTTGTTTTTTCCGACCACCCATGTAAAAATTCCTGGCCAAATTTTTGAAAACACCAAGGTTGTGTGGTAATTTAATTGCCGTCTGAATCCACAAGAAGTGTATTAATCCAAAAGTAATTTTGTAAGTAATTTTTCACCGTACCTTAACTGTTGCACTTCGCTGTAATGTACACACTTTTTAAATATGTACTTTTATTACTGAAATGCTGGAACTGTTTACAAGAATAGTGTTATGCCACCACTCCACTATAGTGAGTGGGAACTATTAAGAAGAAAAAGAAAACCGAACTAAATCATGTAAACTTTTGAAATGGGCCATTATTATTGTATGCAATACATTTTTAAAATGTTAATTATATATGTTTATATATAGATTTGACGTGTGTGTGTGTGTGTGTGTGTGTGTATATATATATATATTTATTATTTTTCTATACAGTGGGTA